AAGCCAAAAGCGATCCTTCCAACACCATGTTTCACAGCCAGAGTTAGAGGCAAAACTTTTGACCTGATCTGTAACAAGTTTGGTAAGTGCTATAGCGCCTTCTCTGCTCCCCAAACTAACCCATCTCCTTTCTCACGCCTACCCACTTGACATTAACAGGCACATTCAGTTCAGGTCTAAAACAAGCATGAAAATCACCCCCTGCTAAAGCACCCCAACTTGCACCCCTAGCAGCTTGGTAGCTTTACATGTGATGCAGAAAAGTCCAGCAGCCCACAGTGACGTGTGCTTCACACGCCAGCTCCGAGCCCCTTGCTGCAGCATTTGCTCGCTGCCCTCTGCCTCCGGGAGATTCTTGGTCATGGCCATTTGTGACGAGGACTCCTGAGCTTCAGCTCCCCGCACAGCAGCCCCGAGAGATAATCCCTTCCCATCGCCTGATGGAGCTGACAGCCCTCTTGGCAGGCACAGCTATGAGGACTTCTGGTCGTGACGCTCTTTGGCTGCTTTTCTACGGCGACACCTCCCCTCGCTGCGCGTGGCCAGCCCTCGCAGCCGTGCCTCTCACACCCGCAGCCCCAGCAGGCTGCTGCCCTGAGCTCACACCCCCACAGCTTCCTTCTGGGAGCAGTCAAATGTTTCCCCCAGGGCTTCCCAGCCACTCCCGGTGCTGCCATTTGTTTGGGTACTGTCCTCCTGTTGTCCAAGCTGTTTCCTCTCAGCTTGCTGGCGTGCCGGATTGCCACATGGTGTCTCGACCACGTTCCTTTCAATCTTTTACACTCTCCTGCCCAGGGAGCTCTTGTGAAGCACGCTTTTCGGCTGGACTCCAAGCAGGGTCTTCCATATCAACACTTCTTTATTGGCTCCCACCTCTGCCCGGCCACTGAGGAGTTTCAGGAGCAGTGGTGGGATGTCACTGCTACACAAAACCCATCCTCCCCGGGGTTAGGACACCCTGCCCATGGCACAGGTGGGAGAGCACAGCACCGCTTCTCAAGCCCGCAGGTGAAATCGCTGCCACGGGGAGCAGAGAAATCCAGCCTGCCTCTGCCACAGGCAAGGCAGGGAAGAAGTATAGGGGAAAGGGCAAAAGAAGAATGTCAGAGGGTTGAGCTAGGGTATCCTGCAGGAGTGGGGATGGAGGCTTCCTCCTGCCCCACCACACCACCCCCAGCGTCCCTGCCACAGCACAGGCACGTTGGTGCTGGCAAAGGAGCCACAACCTGGCTGCTACTGGCAGCATCGAGGTCTGATCGTGAGCTACAGCAGGCAGATTCCCTCAGTTCAAACAGTTGCATCTCTTAAGTCCCCGCTTTTTAACACAGGTCTCTTTTGCTTGCCCATCGAGTTAGGAAATTCAGCTGATCTCCTTTGTTAAACCATTTATTGCAGAGCAGCTCATTCAAGCCGTTCTTCCCAGTCCATTCAGCAGCTGTACTGCTGACAAAAGAGCAGTGTCCCAGTCTCCCAGCCTTTGTTCTGGGACCAGAATTATCTCTGCTGTGGCTCTTCTGCTGTGGCGGCACATATACAACTCGTGTCTATAATTCAAAACTATAGCTCATTACGTGACACTAATCTGCGAGAAACTGCCACCCATTTCCTCACCATTAATCTTTGATTTCAGATGTTTAGGTAGAGCGAATAGATCCTCAGTTAATAAAAGCAAATTGCTCGCTGGGAATGCTGTATAACAGAGTTAAATTTGAAATCTAATAATGGGAAAAAGATTGAAAGTAAAGACAATAAGCATTCCTGATCGTGCCATTAGAGAGGGATGGAAGTTTCTACATAGTCAAGGCTGCAATCAGTTTCCATTTCAGCTCCTTTATTGGCTTTGCCTTGGAAGGTTTCTCAGGTCTGAAAAATTCAAGGCTTATTCTTGATGAAAAGAAGAAAGTGTTTTTGCAAAAAAAGCAGGACAATTGGACAAAGTGGCATTGCAGATAGCTAGCACAGAAAAAGCAGCATTCGAGTTCCCCAACTGATCATTTTTTTTAATGTACAGTGGATTTATATGTCTTGTTTTTTGAGCTGTTCAGATCATATTTTCAATTTTTTTCTCAGTAATAATGAGGTCTAGAAAATTGCTTTTCCTCCCATTAAAATAAGCTCAAATAGTAATCACATAAGCTCAAGAGCTGAAAAAAGCAGCAAATATTTCAAAACAATCACTCATTCAGAGAAGAAAAACAGTACATTAAAATACTAACACTACATTTTAAACAAAAACAAAACATGCAAGCTATGAGTCAAAATGAAGGTTATGAATTTTTGAAATGTGTGTTTTTATACTTAATGAAATGTGGCTCATAATACGGGCAGTGTGAGATTTACAATGTTCTAAACTATTCATATCCTTACTTGCAAGTGTTTGGATTTTACAAATGATGTGACAAGTAAATACGTTGCTTAGGAACCATGGTGGGCTTTTGAAACTAATTCTTTTGTTTCTGGGATTTTGACTTGGCAGGTGTTTGGTGCAGTGGAGTTATCAAACTCCTCTGGTTAGCACTCAGACAGCACCAGTCATTCGGGGAGGGCTCTCAGATAGCGATAAAGCTTAAAAATCTGAGGCTCGTGTTATTCCAGCTCCCTGCCTGCACAGTGTGCCCTCAATACCCCTTACAGTTTCAGTCACGCTGTGTCCAATTCCCCAAACCAAAAACCTTTGTGAGCCCCAGGATCTTCTTTTCTTCCAGGAAGCGTTTTCGGTGAAGCTTGGAAATGCAGGACGAACTAAGCTAAGAGGTGCTGTGGTGAGGTCATACGGCTTTTAAATAGAGACAGAAAGAGCTAGTCTGAAATAATTTATAACGCTATCATCTAAGAGAATGATGTTAACCAGGAAATTGAGAAGTGGGAGTACTTATAAACTCCACCCTGATCCCAAACTCCTTCCACAACCCCAGAATAGCTGGTGTTACTACTAATATGATCTACAGTAGCACATTTAAACATGGTTAACATTTAAATTTAGGTTTCATAAATTACACCCTGTTGAGATGGATAGAGACAGCTCCTATCTCTTTGAGGTATTGTTTCATTTGCAAATTCAGGCAGATGGTGCACGAGCAACTAATGACTCAAAAAATCACCCCTAAAAATAGCCCAGAACAAGGTGGGGATTTATCAGGGAGGGAGGGAACAGAAAAGCCTTGACTTCCCATTCCCATTTCTCTGGCACAGCTCCAGGAGCGCAGCTCACCGCAAGGACCCGCAGTGCTGTGCAGAACAAGGCCCCTGCCTGCACCCCATGTTTGTGCACCTCATGTCATGCAATGAGATGGCGAGGAGGGAAAGGGATCCATACTCACCACCTTCCCCACACCCAGGAAAAAAAAAAGCACCCTGGGCAACTGCATCTCCATTAACTCTATCAAGACTTGCTCAGCACCATCAAACTTGGAGAGTCTCCCAGGCAGGCTGGTCGTACCTCATGAAAACTGACTTCTCCAAGCAAAACCTATAAATACTTGTCACTGGTTCCGCCCGGAGTAACCCGCCGCACTATATTGTGCTTCCAGCAGGAAGCCAAATTTGCTGTCATTCTGCTGTTTGTAATGATACTGTGGCCTCATGTCTAACCGCACTTGTACAAACTCTTGGGGAGACAGAGCTTCCCTCCAGGATGTGTCGCGAGCGTTTGAGCAGGGGTGAAGCGTGTCACCGACAGCAAGGAGGAAACCTGCTGTGCAGCCCAATTATGTAAGCAGTGAATTCCTCAGGGCGACGGGCCCGTGTTTGTACAACGCCTGGCAGAAGGCACCGTTCACGGCTGTCCCCAAAGCAATGCCGTTCTGAAGTAATAAATATTAATAATGGCTGGTTAAAGATTCCAGCGCAGGTAAAGCTCCAACTTGAAGAGTAAAATATTTTTGTATGAAAAGCAGGAGGGCCTCTGGCAATTTAAACCCTGTTAGCGAAGTTTTAGTATTTAGTGCACAAACACAGAAAATGTATGTTAAATACCACTTCAGTTGTCTCTTTGGAGGAAAAAGACTCCCCTTCCACTAACACGTCTTGCTGTCTCTTGTTCATACCATGACATCTTCCAGTCCTGCTCCTTGCCTTCCTGTCCACTGGTGGGAGGAAAGCAGACTCTTCCCATTTTCACCTACAGCACAGGCTGCTTCCACAATGTTACCTGCTTCTAAATACTATATTTAAACTGCTGCTGCTGGCTGATTTGTTAGGCCATGCTTAGCTCTTTCTTTTTGGGTTGTCTTATCTGTTTATTATGCAATAAAAAATAGTTGCTGTGGGGGCTCATGATTCAAGCACTCCTGACATGTATTATTTCACTGAACCATAGTTCTTCTTCCTGGTTACAAATGCAGCTCTAAATTTGTTAGAGCTTGCCTATGCTTATATTGTGTTTGTGTTTTTACCCTTCTCCTACGGCATCCTAAATAAAAGTAATGTTTAAAAATAAAGGAAAATATATGCTAATTATATACAATGTGTTGGAACAACAGAGTTGCACCAAAATGCATTAGGTGGGGATTTGACTATGTCAGCGAGATGAAGTGAACAGGCTACGAAGCGAATTCTAAAAGAAGAGGGAAGAAAGCTATCACTCTTGCTGCCAAAGTCTCACTGCAGCTTATACAAAGGCATGTAGATGAACCTAATATAGACAGAAAGCCTGCCCATGGCAAATACACCAAAAAGCCATATTCTGTTCTGGCAGAGTGATGGTGCAGAATAATTTACTAGAACTCTTCTAACATTCATGATACTGAGGGAGATGCCAGCACTCTGCTTCATTAACCAGTCATTTTGATTGCATCTTTTTTCTTTTTTTTTTTTTTAATTCTAGTAATTTTCTCTTCTTTGCAATTATACTAGGAGTCTAAATCCCTCCACATAAATTATAGCTTTCTCTTTGAGGGGGAGACTGGCCACATAAGCTGGAAACACTCTCCTCTGAAGCCAGAACCTGAAGGGAAAGAGCCTGAGCAGCAGCCCTGGTCTAATTAAAAGATTATCTTTACCTTGCTCCCACAATGAGCTGGTTCCTGTTGGCATCCAGTGCGAGCTGAGAAAAGTCATGCACACCTGGATAGGTGAAATTCGAAACCCAGGGCTTCAGATCTGCAACGAGAAGGAGAAAGCACAACACAATAAAGCTGCTCCAGAAGCAGTGAGTTCACCCAGACATCTACTAATGGATTTCCTACCGAGTTATCTGTCAGGGGAAGGTTAATTAATAATCTATTTAAAGGGTTTCTATTTATTCTGATTCTCCACAGAAGGTGCAAAAACCGTACATAAATGCAGGGCTGTCTCAGCAGTTATTTTCATATCGAAAGTCGGAGACAATGGCAGCTTGATTTTACTTCAGTTAAAACTGGGGATTCACTTTCAGTGCCAGGGTTAAATGGTGTACAGGGACTAGGCTGGCTGCCCTAACAGCTCCATAGCCTGGCCTTCCCTGCTAAGCAATGGGAAGCTGCTGTTCTCCACGAAGAGAAGCTGGGGTCAACTGACTGACCACCAGGTTAGAGTAGGGATGATCTACACTCAAGACCTGGCTGCTCAAAGGACGGGCTTTACCTTCTCTTCCAGGTTTTAGGTTCTGTGCCAGGTTTCACTTTACCCAACATCTGGGATCCCTGTCAATCATATCCTTCCTTAACTTAGATGGGGAGGTGGGATCATCACGGCATCTTAATAGCTGAAAACTGAACAAGCTTGGAGCTGGCTCTATTAACCAGCCTGGATTTAACAACGTGGCAGGTTAAATGCAAAGCAATAGATTTCACTGTGCTCATGGAGACAGAACTCTTATAGAAGCCATATCTATTAACACAACATCAGTTGAGAGATGTAGGGCAGATAATCCTGATTTAATAAAAAATATACCTGCTTAAAGAAAAAGCTAAATCACTTTTTTAGGGTACTCTCAGATGTGATGTTAGGGCATTCACAGAATCCAGTATCTCAATATAGTTACCAACTTTTACTTTGTGTGGATCACAGATCACAGAATTTCAGCCTCCCACTTTACACCTTTGCTGCATGGAATAACTGGGGATAGACTGATGTGTATCTTCCAGAAGTCATCCAGCTTTACTGTGAGGACTTCTCTTGGAAATTTGTTCCATCTGTTAACTATTCTGTCTGTTACATACATGGAGGATACCAAATATTGAGGGAGCAAAGCACAAATGAGACCAAGTTGGTCAAGGTCTGGATGCAGAAGACCCACAAGGCTCAAAATCTTGAACCTGCAAGGTAATATCTTCTGGCCTCATGCCAACGGGACGTCAGCAGACAGGCCGTGACCCAGTGATTCATAATAATAATGATGCAGCCAAGTTCAGACTCGTTCAAAAGAGCTCTGGAAAAACATGCTCCACTGTCATTTTATATCCCCATGCTGAGAAGTCGCACTGAAGGCAGCCAGATTTGAACATCTTCGTGTCGGCATTAGTTCTCCTTTCCACAGGACTTCTCTGTTGATGTTGATGAGGAATCTCATTGTTTGTAAGGCCTTTGTTGTCTTGGCACGCTCTGTAGCATTACAGATGTCAAATGGTATAAAACCTTTGCTGTAGGGATATTTGTTGAGCAATCTTAAGTGCCTTGATCCCTTAAGGGCCTGATCCCATGTCCTACCCAACTTGACACTGCTAGGGCCTCTCTGACCATAAGACCTCCATCCGCACCAGATAAAAACCCTGTCAGCTGGAGCTGGAAGCTTCCAGCTCTTCTCTACATTCCTGGCACGTTACGTAGCCGCACACAACACGTGTACCTCCTCTGCTCTTCAACTAAAAGGCATGAGTTAAGGAATAACTCAGCCCGTCTAACCTTCAAGCGTCTCCACCTCCTACACTCCTCTGGGACCCTTAATGATGTACCAGCACCAGGGAGGCACCGCAGCTTCACCTCTGGCATTCTCCTAACTAATGGGGCTCTGTCTTCTTTTCCTGTAGCTCTTTAGGTGCAGAGACATTTCTGAGGCAAGCAGCAGAACCAGCAACAATAACACCTTTCAGGCGGGTTAGCTGGCTGACATGTGCTGCAGATCTCCTGGCATTTCTGTTGGCTGACGGGGGTGGGATTAGGGGATTGCTATATAATGATGATACCTTTTAAGGATCCTACTTTTAGGCCACAATTTCTCTTGTCATTTTGCTTTCTCTCGTACCAAGTTTTTCCTACTAACCAACCCACTATTACAGTGCGGTGGCAGGAAGAAAATTTCTTCATCTGCTGCTCTAAGCAAAAGCTCCTCACTTCAGAGAGGTACACACTCATCAGTCCGTCCTTCTAATGGCAAGCTCTGACAAATTACAGGTAAAAATAATTACAAAAAAAATATTAAAGGCAGTAGGTAGCTTGAAGCCTTCCATGTTGGCTGAAATGTCAATCAAGCCAAGAAATAACAGGCAGTGTCTTGATTTCTATTACTACTGCAGGTGGTACAACTTATAAAGAAACCCTTCCCGGTTATTAAATTAAAGGCTTCAAGGCATGCATCCTCATAGCAAAATTAAGCTTTTATAGGCATGTAGTTGGAGATTATTAAACCCAGCATGGTCTCAGCTAAGAATGTCTAAATGTGAGTTGTCAGAATTAATGCCAAACGGCACATTCTCCTTCCAAACCTTCTGTCTTCCTGTTAGAGGGAAGGGATAAAGCGGAATGGAAACAGAGCCAGGACATGGGTCTTTTTTCATTCGATACATTCAAATTTAGTGCTCAGACCACAGGCATCCCTAAGGACAGTTCTAGCCTTTCATTTTGAAACAAGCTCAGTTATGCAAGGTAAGTGCTGCCCTGGGCCTAGCCCATATTAGCTGAAGTTTACACATATGGACCCAATGAACTCCAGAGTTTACTTGTATTTGACCTTTCTCAGAAGGCTGATTTTTCCAGTGCTGACTCTTTAATTTGGCTGGAAACCTTCAGTGCTGGGGCATGTTTACATTTGCAAAAGTATCTGTTTAAAAACAGTATGAAAAATTAAAACCCAAGGCCCTGGCTTTGCATGTCGGCAGCAGGAGCCGGAAAGCTAGGAACCACATCGCTTAGGGGCGAAACGCTCATCAAGGCCTCCTTTGTGCTCCTCACCTCTAATCATTTCCAGGGGGTTAAAGATCCCTGCTCTCACTTCCTCCACATTAGGACGGACAAACAGCAGTTTAATAGCTTCCAACACCACCCAGCTGATTCGGTGCCTCTGAAGCTCCCCGAGCGCGGCTCGAGGTGGTTCAGGTGCCCAGCTGCAGGAGCACGGGGCTCCGCAGGAGATGCACGTCTGCAGGCACAGCTGTGCATGCAGGAGACAAGGTGAAAAGAGGCCCTCTGCCATTTCGGAGGGTGGTCTCCGCAGCCTGCTAGCGCTGCTCCGCACCGGGTCCCCGAGGGCGCAGGAGCGGGACAAGGATCAGCTGCACATATGCTGGCGTGCTGAGTTGGAGGAGCTGGGTTTTAAGGGCCTGATCCAGGGGCTCTTCAAATCATTGGCAGTTTTCCACCGAGCTTGATGGGTTTTGGATCGGCTTCTGAAGACGTGGTAAACCTGGTAATGTTTGAGCCTTCATCTCCTCAAAACCAGCTGCTCCCCACCTCCCCCTGACGCTGTGTGTTTTGGAGGGAAGAAGTGTGTAAACACTGCGCTGAGACTTCCCTGCCTGAAGGACAGCACGTACTGCTTCAGCTCACTTGAGGCCACTCACAGCTCCCTTCTCCAGCAGGCCGTAACAGCTCCGTGCAGCCAGCACACACCTCGAAATAGCAGAGAGGTTAAATACCCGTGCCTTGAAATTGTAAAGCCATTGCGAGGTGGATGGAGCCTGGCTAACCACTGCGGTATTCAAGAGCATCTCTTCTGGAGTAATTCTCAGCATGGACTGCCTAGCCTGGAGCAAAAGAAGCTAAACAAAATAGGACCAAGGACTCTTTGTGCAATGTAAGGATGTATCCACATATAAAAACCACCCATGCTCCTGTCTGGACTACCTCTGAATACCAGTGAGGCTGCAAGAGCAGAAGTCTCAGCTTGAATTGTTCGTCCAAGTCTTTCTCCTGTGTTTCGGGCAGAGCTTGCAGCTCAACATGAATACCTCAGTGCCAGCTGCAAAGTCATTATCTTCATGGGAGCTAGCTCGTTGAAAGCTAATTCAGGCACATCCGCGTGAGCCCTTTTCATTCTTTTGTGTAGCAGTGTAGTCACACATTAAGGGTGTCCACACGTGGAGTTATTTTGGAATAGCTCCTCACGAGTAGTGCCAGGTATAGCCGCTAGTTGTGCCATCGTGTAGGAACACGAGTCTCCTGCTAAAAATGGGAATACTGGGAGAAAAGCCTCAAAGATCATAAAAAGACCTTAAGGGAGGAAGACAGGGAAGTCAAACGTGAAGGAAGCTCAAGGCACTGCATTCCAGAAAATACAACCTGAAGCAGATGAATTATATAAAGCCCCTGAAAAATCAGCTGATTCAACAGTAAAGATTTGTGTAATGAGGTGGAGCACATGTACAGAATTGAGGTCCTGCCAGACTCAATGGGCATAAGTAAATTACCTGTTCTGCAGCATTCAAACCTATTTTTGTGCAGTGTTAACCTGACCACACATGAATGCTTCTCTTACTGCCTCAAGATGGTCTCTTAAAAGTTCTCTTAACTCAGCTACTACTTTATGGCATATTTAATTTCTGTATTTGAGTATTTCAGCACTCATGGGGAGGCCAGATGACAGTCATGACTTCTGTAACTGTACAATCTTCTCTCCTTTTGATTTATTTCAGCAACTGGTAGATACTGCAGTTTGCAAGTACCCAACCACTTAGATCTTTTCCAGACTACCCTCTAGCATGGAGGGCTCTCAGTGCTGGATCCCAACAAATGACCAACAGACAGATGTAAATCACTTTGTCATGTAAGGGAAAGTTTCAGTCTGCCTTCTTGGTATACACTGATGAAATGATCCCTTTTCAGAATGAGACCTACTATCTTAAATCTATTCGCTTGTCAAGGCCTGCAAAGTCAGATCATCCTCTGCATCAATTATCCTGAGATAATATTCAGAGCACTTTCCACAATGCTGCCTGCTATGAGCGAGGTCGCAGTTTCCATTCTGT